CATTTATATATGAAAGGTCTTTCAGGAAAGAAACCCTTTCGTAAATTAGTCTGGAACATTTTTAATAAAAAATAGAGCATTGGATGGTTAAAATAAAAGGTGCAGGCAAACTGTTACCAGTGTAGAAGGCTGAAGAAAGAGTCATGAGTGAAAGTCCTGTATATTGTGTTCATGTGTATTGTTTGATAGATAATAGTCTGGTGATGTTTTTCTGGAGTTAAGTTTAAAGTAAGAGGAGGAGAGGGAAGCTGCTGAGATGGATTGAGTTAGTAAGAAGAAGATTTTAAGGTTTAAGAGTTTGGTTCTGGAATTAAGATATAAGAGTTGGCGTAGTGGATTATGTCATCAGACTGCTTTGTGATCTTGTGCAGTACCGTACAATATATATATCAGTCTCGCTGATAACCACCTTCACGTAGTACCATATTTAGAGATTACTGTATTTTTAACTATGTATTACATAACTGAAACTTGGGATGTTGCTTGGTTGAATGGGAAAATATCCAGATTAGTGATACTGTAATTTTGTCTGGTTAAGTAAAAAAAATTCTATAAACCAGACTGTTTGCCTTCCAGTTAATACTTTTTATTTTAATTAATTAGTTTAAGATATTCATGTGCATACAATATAATGTTTTCCTTTTTATAATTTAGTTGCTTGTAGAGTATTTTAATGATGCAGTATTATTTTTGTTACATTTTACTTAATGAAATTTTATGCACTTATTTGGTTGAAAAGTAGGATTATAGTTTTATGAGTAAGAAACCAATATCACTGCGTAGAAAACCTTATTTTGGTTAAGAAATTGCTTGCCTGATTAACATGCAGTGGCAATCCTTAGAGAAGTTTCAAGAACTTTGTCTACCACATGTGGGGCTAATCATCATCATCATCATCATCATACTAGTAGGAGCATACATTGCTTTTAAAGTAACTTGTTAGTAATTTGATGACAGTACAGTACTGAATATGAATTTGTTTGTGTATGTGAACAAATTAGTTCTTATCCTGTTATATTATGCACACTGCACTTAGTTATCATTTAGCCAAATTTAAATTATTATACTGTTTGCTTTCTGGAATGTTACTCAGCAGCAGTATGTCATCCATGAGTCTGTTATACTCTGTTCACTCCAAGCTTGCAACTGGGCCAAATCACAGGAAGCTCGTGATTGGTTTTGCCATGCTGGGTGAATATGTGCAGAGTACCGTATATACTCGTGTGTAGTTCGAGTTTTAAGAAGAAATTTTTAGGGCAAAAATTGGGGGTCGACCTCTACATGCGTAATAGTTTTGTTAGGTTGAACCCGTGCACGATGGGAAGGGCGAGGAGCAACTTTTAGCTTAAGACATGAAAAATATTTACCATTTACTGCCAGTAAACAATGGAAACGTAAAATATGTACCAATTAGTAATGAAAGGTGTGTGGTTCAGCAGATGAAGTACCAACTTACAATAGGCTAAATTACCTTACAACGTGCTTTCAGTAGTCTATGTTGAAGTTCTTAGCACAGGCTAACTTATCATATCATATACACGGTATCACAGTACTCATTGATCTACAAAAAATACCAGTAACAAAAACCTTTTCGATATTTCACACTTAATATAATACCGTAATCCACTTCAACCTCCTATTGTTTATAACGATGCATGACGCACCACCAGCTGTTACGTATCAGCTAGACGGTACACGTAGTTGAATCTTTTTCAGTTAAAAACTGTTACATCACGTATATTTTACCTTAACTGTGCCTGCATGAATATATTCTCGGAAATAAATAGTAGTTTTGCTGAAATGTGATGTATTTAATGTAAAATAGGATAAAATACATGACGAAAACAAAAGATTTTACCTAACCTTCCGATGTTCAAGAAAAGTTACTTGTTTTTTAATAGTAGTGGTTAAAATACTGTTATATTACAATGGTACTTATTCATACTGTGCTTGATATAATGCATTCACGGAAATGTAATATTTTTGCTGAAATGACGACGATTACAGTGGAAAGTGGGATAAAATCAGACGAAAACAATGACTTTCGCTTTCTTGCCTAAAGATGTTCCCGTAATCGCTTTTCGAATGGTTTTCAGTTAAAAAACTGTTGTATTACAATAATATTCCCTCGGTGTTTCAGGCACGGCGAGCCTCAGTTTGTAGGACGTAGAGTGCTTTTACTGAAGGTTTTGTTGTTCCATTACCCTCAAAAACTTGGATCGACCTATAAACGAGGAATATCATAAATTAACGATTTCTTGGTAAAAAAATCAGGGTCGACCTATAAACGAGGGGGATTATAGACGAGTATATACGGTACTGTACATAATTTTCAGACAAGAACAAAGTCAGCAAAAGCCATCATCTATATTCTTCTTAACCCTCATGCTCTTCAAGCCGTCTCACCAAGTACTGGCCTGTGTGTTTCTTAATATTGATATTGAATGGAAAGTACTTTTGAGATACTGATTTTTTATTAATATCTCGAAACTTGAGTTAAAAATATCACAGTGCAGTATGGTAACTGGTCCAGGTAGGCCCAAAATAATAATGCATAAAAAATTGATAGTAGTAAAATAACAGATAAAGCAAGTAGTGATAGATTCAGTGTATGCCCCCAGTGCCATGCTATGAACAATATAGGAGTCAAAAACATTTTGGTGGAAGCACTTGGTCACTATTACATCCATATTTCAGCTTCATAGATAGAAAATTTCCTGGGGCATTGCCCAGTTACTCAAGAAATAAAAACTTCCTCCATTACATGCACTTTGTGTAGCACCTGGAGACAGAATGTGGGGGAAGACGGGTGTACAGTACAAGTTATATTGCCTTCCTTTTAAGATGGGAATCTCATGCTAAGTGGTTTACACTTGGTTAAAGGCATTAAAAGGGGTAAGCAATATGGAAGTCTCAATTTACTGTGTAATACTTAATCTTACACTGATACCCTCATTAACCAGAATAATTGGTGCATGGCTTTTCCGGGAATGAGAGATTTCTGGGTATGGAGATGAATTTTCTCTTCCAGGAAAAGATCGCACATCCCCAGGAAGAAGGGGATCGAAATGGTAATTAAAATGGGGGGGGGATTTATTAACCATTAAAAAGTATACTGTACATTACTCTTGTTTATATCGGCTTTGTAAGAATGGTAACACATCACGCTGTTTATACATAAAAAATCCGCTTGTTCTAAAGCTTGTATATAAACATTAGTTCAACTTGATTTCATTTATTTTCCTCTGATAATGTCTTCCAAATTATCCATCAAGGCCTTTTACAAGAACCCTCTGAAGAAGCTCAAGGTGATGTGAGCTCTAGAAGGTGTTGAGATTTTGAGACATCTTGAATCCTGTATGGTAGTATGCCTGTACATTAGCTGCAGGGCTTCATAGGGCATAATTATGAAGGAGTCAGTTAAACATATTTGTGATATCAAGAGGAATGTAGACAAAATTGAGGATGTTAAACATTCTACAACAATTCTTAGTCAAGATGACGACAAGAATGAGGAACCAAGAGTTAAAAAATTGAGCAATTTTAGTTCTGTGGAATGATGACCAAAATAAAACAATTGTATTGTGCCTATAAACTGTCAACATTTGTTTTAAAAATATACAGTGCAGTTGAGTCTGGATTTACGCGGTTTTGGTTCGTGTTTGTCATTTACTCGGTGCCTTGCCAGAATTGAAATGCTTGATTTACGCGGCAAATTTGGTCATTCGTGGAGCGGCGCAGGCAGGGTGCGCACAAGGTCGCCCAGTCATCAAAACATTACTGAGTTCTTCACCGCCACCCACCACAGGCGACCCAAGTCAGTGATAGTGAGGATATGGACTTTGAGGGTTTGACAGAGGCCCTGCAAGCCTCTGTGGTGGATAGTGATACAAGTGATACAGGTGAGGGCCAATAATTTGCCCTCTTGCCTCGAACCAACCCCCCCATCTGTGTGCCCAGTCATTTTTCTACTAATGTAAGTGTTAAAAACCTAATATTATTGAGTATTTCTCTTAATTATTAATTGTGTGTGCATACCATCATAAAATTAAGATGTTATTTTGACTACAAAGTACATATTGTGTCGGAAAAAGTGGAGTTTGGGGGTCGGCCCAGTCTCTATTTCAATTAATCCCATATGTTCTGTTATTTCATTTACGCGTTTCTCGTTTTACGCAGTACTCCGCAGGTTCAATTGACCGCGTAAATGAAGACCCAGCTGTATAGTATATATAAATATATATATTGGCAAGTGCAGGTATACTCCCTTAAACTGGAATATTGTAAAAAATGGGATTAGGGCTAAGGCTGGGAATGTAACCCACCTTTTACTAGACTCTGATACAGTATTTGTTTAGGTGAGTTTTACTTATGACCGGCCTTTTCTAGAAATGTAATCGTGACATTAATGAAGGCCACCTTTATCTAGATTAGGTGTATTTTCTATTCAACTTTTATCAGACATTTTATAACACATCTTGTTCATCCTTGATCCCTTGCTCTTCACCTTACAGATGTTTAATCCATTCACTATTTTAATAGTTTCTCTTCAACCACATCTGTTTTTCCCAACAATAAGGATGTGTCAACTGGTCCATGGTCTCATTGTAAATTTCTCAGTCCTGTAGTTAAAATAAAAACTCACCATTACTATGATAACAGCCACCATTATGAGTAAGATATGCCTAGAGTATTAGGAACTTACATATTACTCCTGCACCCTGTGTGATGTGCCACCTAGTCTAAGCCATGCCTGGTCCTGTTAGAAAAAGATATCTTCCTAGCTTATAATTTACAGATAATTAACTTACATAAATAAAAGCAGTTTTGGTTTTGCTCAAGTTTACTGAACTTTTCTTTCTATACTTTTGAGTAAAGTTGTTAAAATAAAGACATCCAAACCATAAACCAAAGTTAACAGCATTGTTGTTAGCCTTCTTCATGAATTAGCACCAGTGTGACTTGATGTTATCATAATATTAGTTCTGTGTATTTTTCAGTCCGTGAGCTGCGCATGGGTCATAAATCCAGGAATTGCATTGTTGGCTACCCGATTCTCCCTGCATTTATGCGGTTACCTAAAAATGAGGAAGAAGACGAGTGTTGAATTCAGGCCTGGATGACTGTTGCATGATGCCATCGCACACTACTCCAACCAACTAAACTATCTCATACCATCACTTGGTTATCCATTTAGTGTTCATACCTTAGAAACTCATGTCACAACTCTGTTTCAAACTTGAAATTTGTAAGGTTTTATTCATTAAATATTTTTCATCTTGTGTAAACATTGTATTTCAGCATATGTAAGTTTTAGTAGGAACCTAATTGTTTGTTAAACATACCTTTGGGATCTTTACGGTTTCCTTTTTTTTTTTTTTTTCATCTTTTTTCTTAAAGACAGCTAAAGCACATTTGGACAACCAATATTGTCTTTCATTAAACGGTGCTTAAGTATGAGTTTGTTTGCGATGGTAACCTGCAGCCCTGGGCCAAATGTCTGGTCAGTTGTAGCCACCCTTCTTCTGTTCTCGACTCTTCCCAGTATGCCTCTTCAGCACCAGGAAACTTACCCAACCAGCCAAAGACTAGGATTTGTAAACAATGTTGGGGAAATAAATCTTTGTCATTGGAGTTTTCTTTTCAATGTGAAATTTTTTCATCATTAATATTATTTATTTTTTATTCACCAATGAGCTTGGATGCTTGCTCAAGTGAACCTTTGTTGCACTAAACAGCTTCTGGATATTGGGCACAAATTGAATGGATGGGTATAGTCTGTATTTGGAAGTAGAAAGACAAGGTTGATAACAAAACATGTAGTATTATAGAACTATATACTGTCCTATAATTGTTTACCTAGTTAAAAAGGTAATTATGATTATAGATAGGTACTATTATTTAATTTAGTTTTGTGAAGATTGTAGCTGTATGAATGAATTTTGAGACACTATTGAGTCTATTAACATAATCTGGGACCTACTAACACTTGACTCAACACAGTGTGTTTGATATGTGTCAGAGCTGGTATCCAGTCAGATGTGATGAGCTCAAGGTTATTAGTTTACACAAGGTTAAGTAAGGTTCATTTTTCTCAAACATTTTTCTTAACAACCATTTATGCACATTTCATATGCAGTGTAGAAATCTGAACCTTATGTCTTAAGTACAGCTCATAATCACTGTCCCCCCTTTTTTTTATAAATATCTCCTTATACTTTCAAATTTGATTTAGAGCTAGTAAGTCGATCAGACAGGTGCTCCTATGATTCACTGCCGACAGTGCTAAGATGTCATTTGTTTTATATCTTGATTAAAACCTAAGCCGGATGGATCTCGCTATTGCAGAATGAAAGATTTAACTGGTTTTTATGAGCCTTGGTGTGGCAGTACTACTCGTCTTCTTTCTTGTAGTAAGGGAGAACTGAATCCTGATTGTGGAGATGGCCAAAGCTCATTGTCATTTCTTCAACAAGGATCTGTTATACTACAGAATAGGCTTGATGTCTTTTGCCTGTGATAGAGCTTATGTTGATTGTTTACTAAGGTGGAGGTAAGGATTCTTTACTCAGATTGTATGAAGAAGTAGATTTTACCATTTCCCTGGTAATGAGCTGTGCAACAACTTAATAATTCCATGACAAAGTTCCTCAATTACACAAGCTCCATCTCAGGCAAGTTTTCTAACATTCTGTGATAGGGACAGTAGCACTCCTGTATAGTTTTTTTAAGCTACTCTGCTCATTTTTAATGAATATCATGAAAAGTACCATGTTTTATTGTCATGAGCATTATATTAATGACTGTCTTGTAGCAGTATGTACAAGTCTTGTCTTTTACTATGCATTTCTCACAGAGCTTGGCTTTTAATGGACATTTTAGACTACTGTATTTCAAAAGATTTTGGAAAATAAAATCTTATTGTTAATAATTTACTGTACAATAATGGAAAGGGAACTTCACCCATGTAATTTCACCTTTGATTAGAATATTTTTTTTAGCAAGTTCCCATACACAATATTTATCTTTTATTTTATGCAAAGTTAAATTGCACTATTATGGAAAAGTCTCCATCTATGGTTTGTGTTGTACAATATTGTACATAGGCATTCAGTAAAGTTTTCTTTCCATATAATGTGTATCTCTTTCCCAGTGAAGTACAGTACTCAGTTAAACAAACCGTGAATACTCTAAATCAATACAAGCTGCTACTTGTATTAAGATAAGATGCACCATGCATAATCTTCTCCTTCCCTCTCATGTTTCTCTTTCTATGTCCAGCAATGCATAGGCATTTGCCATGATTACTAGTTTACCTGAACACTTATAACAAAAAGTTTTTTTTTGTCGTTTTGTAGTCGACTGATGAAACCTTTCATATTGTCCTCAAGGTTATGAATCTCCTGGTTTATGGTGACTCAAATAAAGCCAGCAGTAAGATGCCTCCAACATATATTAGTCCATGTTTGACCAATCTCTACCTGCTCTGGAACTTGGGGGTGGGGGTTTGTAGTGTTGTCTTCATAGCTTGGACCATGTCTACAACATGAATGACAGCAGAATGACCTGGTCTGGTATTCTAGTGATTCTGGAGCAGTGCTAGCATTGTTGGCTCTATTGTTGCTCAGGTGTGGGGCCATCTTGCAGCAGTTGGAGTTGCTTTTGTAGTGATGCTATCTCAGTGTCAAGATAACCATGGCCTCATGTGTGGTAGAAACACCCCCCCATGTCTGTGAAAACTAGAAGGTACCTCTTGCTTGGCAGAAAGATGATCCCACAGAGAGATTCACTAGTTAGGGTGCACCCTGAAATATATACAGCTCCTCCCGACTTCTGACCACCCGCCAACCTGCCTCAGTCGTACCAATATTTGGTCATTCGTATTTTCGAGTCCCAAAGTCAGTACACAGACAAAATTTTCGTTTGTAATTCTTTAAAATGGCTGGCAAGCTTAAAAGTGAGTGTTTTGTGGTACTGAGAAAAAAGAGACACCCATTTTAGATTTTCTATGTATTATTTAAGCATTTCCGACTTACGACCATTTCGACTTATGACCTGGATTTGGTCCCTAACCCCGCCATAAGTCGAGGAGCTGTACTGACTTTACACATTTATAGATCTTGTATGGTAACTATGGGTTCTAGCCTGACAATGTTCCTGGGCTGGTTCAGGAGTGGTCTGGGAACTCTCTGCTCACTCCATGGTATGTGGGATGTGGAGCTATGTAAGCATTCTGATGGTGATGGAGCAAATGGTTGAGTGGGTACGTTACCTCAAAGGGGCTTGGTTGGTAGTTTAAATTATATACATCACCGATTAACTAGAAGAGTTTCTTATCTTCCTCCTTGGCAAAGCAGGTAATAGTGAAGTTGACCTTGATGGGTTATTCTATATGAGCCTTGCTGTCTCTGCAATTTAGGTCATTTGCCAGGGAAACCTCATAGAAAAAGTGTCTTAGACTTGTCTGAACTATTGGTTGCAAATATAAATTCTCTAGATTTGGTTGATAGCAATAATAATAATAATAGATACAAAGTAATAATAATAATAATATTAACAATGTATAAATTAATTGTAATGTAGTTAATTAAGGAGAGAGTTACATTAAATGAATTAACCTTAGCTATTGGAATTTATGAAAACGACTACCACCAGGAGTTGTTCGATTTCGTTCATTTTCCTACTACAGTAAGTTCTTATTATCATAGTAGGAATTTTATAAGAGCGACAAATTGTTATTTCAATTACATTTTTTTATTTTATTTTCTCTATCTATGATCTTAAATCAGCTGTAGTGGGCAGGGCATGAAGGGTGAATTAAAGTGTGGGAAAAACATGGTGAAAAACTGATCATATGACACTAAAGTGATATCCCTATGTGCTTTGTACCTGAATAAATTAACTATTTACCTTAAATAGTAATAGAAAAAAGCTGCCGAATCACCAAGTGTAGTCGGGTCTAGAGGCCCTACATACTGAGAGTAGCGACAAAAGGCGGTCCTGTTTAAATATAAAACGCGGTTAGTGGGCTCATCCTGACACCACTGAGCCGCTTTGTTCACGTTGACCTGTGGAGTCACACAGATCATATTCCTGGTTGGAAGTGGATGTGTGTAATGGGCTGTGTGGCATAGATGTACTAATAGATCGGAGAATATTAAATGTACAGATTTCCAAACCCAGAAGAAGGAAAATATGAGAAACAAAGTCAGTTGTCTGGCTAACTCCATCATGTTATTTGTGTCAGGTATGTTTTAAGCTGTGTTGTCATACACTAGGTGACCAGGTTCTCTAGGTGAGAAGCTCACTCTTATTTTCCATAGAAATCAGTATAAAATAGAAGAGTTACGAGAAATAAGAACAGATGAAGATTCGTGTAGCCTATTAAAAGTTGCTTGAGCATATTCTAGTCACTTATTATGCTTTATTTATTCCTTGTTTTATATAAGCTGTCTCCTTGTGTTATTCTTGCCTCTGTGGGTGCCACTGCCCCCAAAGTCCCTGCAGGGGCTGTGGCGCCCCTATGGGCCCTCCTAGGGCCGTGGGCTGCTATGGGCCCTCCTAGTGCAGTGGGTGCCTCTACAGGGGCGACAGGGCCCCCAGGGGCCCTTCCACATGGCATCGCCAAAAACTTCATAGTTTTGTCGCACATTTTGCATTCGTCCATAATCCCCTTAACTGTGATTGGTGGTAAAAGGTAACATCATCAAATTACAGCCAATAGGAGAACAGAGCAATCAGTCTGCACAACACCCAAACTTATGCTTTGCTGTTGGATATTTATTCTCGTTTCACTATTTAAATTCTGGGAGATAAGACATTTTTAAATAAATACATCGCCCCATAAAGAGTCCTGGGGAAGCCATCTGGAGGCCCCTGAAGGCCCACCTCCGCTGGCAGGGCATCTGGGAGCACCAAGGTCCCTAACGCGTCCTGGATGTGCCCCCGTCCCTGGGAAAAACCCTGAGGTCACCACTGTCCCTGTGAGGTCCCTAGGAGCATTACCGTTCCTGAGAGGCCCATGGACCTCGGCTGTCTGAGCAGCCCCTGAGAACGCCCACCCTGAAAGCCCCTAGGATTGCCGTTGTTCTTAGAGCGCCGATAGTGGATCAAGCGGCCCTGACAGTTCTGGGGTCACCGCCGACCCTGGGGGCCTGGCATTTCAAGTGACCCTACAAGGATAACGGCGATCCCAGGGTCCTTACAGGGACGGGGGCGCCTTCAGGGGTGTTCCCAGGGACTGCGACGTCCCAAGGGCTCTACCAAGCCGTGGCGCCTTCAGGGGACCTTCCAGAGGCAGTGTCTCCTCCAGGGCCTCTATGGGTGCCACTGCCCACAAGGACATTACCAGGATGCGGCGCCAGTATGGGCCCTCCTACGGCCGTAACGATTCCATTGGCCTGCTAGTGGCAGTGGTGCCTTTGCAGGGGCAGCAGGTCTCTACCAGGCGATAAGCAGGCCTTTCCATATCTTGACGCCGCCCAAAAATTCATAGTTTTGTCGTACATTTTGCATTTCTTCAGTAATCCCTTATTTAACTGTGATTGATGGAGCAGGATGTAACATCATCAAATTACAGCCAATAGGAAAACAGAGCAATCAGTCAGCAAAACACCCCAACTTATGCTTTGCTGTTGGATATTTATTCTCGTTTTACTATTTAAATTCTGGGAGATATGACGTTAAATAAATACACCGCTCATCGCATTTTCAGTATTATATAACGTGAACAATAAAAGGAGAATAAATATCCAACAGCAAAACATAAGTTGGGGTGTGCTAATTGATTGCTCTGTTTTCCTATTGGCTGTGATTTGATATTGACCTATTCCACCAATCACAGTTATAAGTACTGGAAGATGCTCAGCACCACTCAGGCGCCGCCTCCTAAGAGGACCTAATGTGAGCCACAGGCCTTGGCAGGGTCCTGGGGCAGTTGCCCCATGAAGAGGCCTGGGGGGCCTCCGCCCTGGAAGGGCCCCTGGGCGCCACGCCTGGGAGGTCTCTGGGAGCACCCCGGGTCCTAGGAGGAGCGCAGGAGGCCCCTTCCCTGGAAAAACCCCTGAGGTCACAGTTGTTCCTGTGAGGGCCTCGGGTCAGTGCCCTAGCAGGCCCCATGGGCGCCCGCGGTTCTGTGAGGGCCCCGGCGTTGCCGTCCCTTAGAGGCCCATGGAAACTTCGGCTGTTACTGGAGAGCCTGAGAACGCCTTCCCGCCAAAGCCCCTGGTTGCTGTCCCAAGAGTGCCCCTGGTGTATCCAGCTGCGGTGGATCCAGCTCCTCTGACAGGTCCTGTGGGTACCGCTGACCCTGAGAGGCCCTGGGGCGCCTCCTGCCTGGCATGGCCAAGTGACCCTCACAGGGATAACATTGATCCCAGGGTCCTTACAGGGACAGGCGCATTCAGGGATGTTCCCAAGGACTGCGATGTCCCCGAGGGCTCTACCACAGCGGTGTCGCCAGGGGCCCTTCCAGAGGGTGTCTCCCCTAGGGTCGCTCTATGGGGTGACACTGCCCACAAGGATGCTGCCAGGGCTCTGGCGCCCCTAGGGGCCCTCTAGTCGCAGTGGGTGGCTTTCCAGAGGCGGCAAGGGTTTCTGACAGGGGCGACGCTGCCTTCGGGGCCTTCAACATCGGCATCGCCCAAAAACTTCCTAGTTTTGTTGTACATTTGCATTCGTCCAGTAATCCCCTTAGTAATTGGTGGAATAGAAGCAACGTCATCAAATTACAGCCAATAGGAGAACAGAGCAATGATCAGCACAACAACCCAACTTATGCTTTGCTGTTGGATATTTATTCTCGTTTCACTATTTAAATTCTGGGAGATATCACGTTAAATAAATACACATAGCATTTTTCAGTATTATCGCAACCTGAACAATAAAAGAGAATAAATATCCAACAGCAAAACATAAGTTGAAGGTGTTGGGTTGAAGATTGCTCTGTTTTCCTATTGGCTGTGATTTGATGATGTTACCTCTTATTCCACCAATCACAGTTAAGTAAAGATTACTGGAAGGATAATGTAAGACCCACAATCCATTGTTTTGGGGTGCCGCCTCCTGTAGGAGGACCTAATGTGAGCCACAGGCCTTGGCAGGGTCCTTGGGAGCAGTGGCGCCCATAAAGAG